CTATTTATCGAATATCTCGTGAATGAGATTATTGAGAATTATTTCAGGCTTACATTTTTGTATATTCTTGTATTCTTTTCTTTTTTTTTTTTTTTATTTCTTTCTTTTTTTAGTCGGTTAGAGGTGAAACGGAAAAATTCATCGATTAAAGTCCACCCAAAAAAATAACGGGAATTTGGTTCTTTGTTAAGCGTGAAGACCAAATTTAGTGTGTTAACGAGAGAAATAACTAACGAGCATTGTTAGATTCGTCATAATGTATCTTGTTTTGGTTCTTTCCTCCATTAAGAATTAATAGCAAATTTTGTTGCTGCGGTTAATATCAAAGCATTTCCCAATTAGATTTATATTGGATTATTTGAAATTATCAAATACTTGAATGATTTATTTATTCCTGTTTTAAGAGAAAAATTTTGAATTAAAGTAAAAACTTTTTCCCAGATCATTCACCTCTTCTGTTTACTAATAAAATATTCAGATTTTAATAAGGAAAGCTCAGAATAGCTAATAAAAAAAATAAAAAACGAACAACACCCTTTTTAATCACATGTATCTTCCACAAAGCTCTATTTCCCTTTGATGTATCTGGACGTTGCTATTCTATCACAGGCTTTAATCACTCAAGCGTCTCTCCAAGACCATAGCATTAATGTTAAGCCAACAACGAAGAAGTTCCTTGTTCATCCGCAATATTAACACATTTGAAGCTCAAAAAAAAAGAAATAGTTAACAAAGGAAGTTAGATCTTACCTTGGCTGAGTCTTTTAAATGCGCCATACTGGGATCGTTGATAGGTTTTCCGCTGGCTGCTTTGGTAGCGTGTATCAGATCTCCAAGAGCAGAGGCCACATCCTTCACCGCATTGATCAGCATTACTTGAGCTTCAGGATTCTGGCTACCCAAACTAGCAGCACCATATTTAACAACCTCAGCAAGCTGAACTATCGTTGAGACTGCATTTTGCGCCGCGACTGCCAATTGCTCTTGAGACGAGGCTGCACCAGCTACTAGCGTTTTGGTATCTTCTACCAGAGCCTTGGCCGTTTTCAAGATGTTCTCTCGATGATCGGCAAAAGTGTCGCCTTCGTTTTCAGCGTGCAAGGTTCCAGCAGTAGCGAACATGATCGTGGTGTCCAGGTCGCCTATAATACCTGACACTGTGCTCGCAGCATTGATGCACGCCTGAGTACCTCTGGAACCGGCCTGCAAGGCGGCCAACACCTGGGACACCTTCTCAGTGACGATCTTGCTGTGCTCTGCAATTTCTCTTTGGGCATAGGCATCGCCTGGTGACATCTGACACGTGCCTGTTGCTCGAACGATGTCCACGCAAGCTCTGCCGAGCTCTTGCACGCCTGTACGAAGTCTTGCAGACACGTCAGCGTTAGATGCAGCTGCTGAGGCGCCGGACGTATCGCGGGCTAGCTGAGTGTATTTGTGGGAGATGTCCACTGCAAGAGGGCCTAATCTGCCTACGTCGGTGCTGGATTTTGTTGACTGAAACGAATGAAAATTGAATGAGGTTAATTGAACGTTCTTTATCAATTGTATTTTTATCCTTCTTATAGTTTACCATTTCCTGTGCCAGCCGAGCAATTTCTTTAGCAGCCTCCACCATTCTTGTTTGATAATCCACATACGAATCCACAGTGTCTATCGTGGACATCCTATGATCCTCCAACCTAACCATGGCACGAGAAATGGTATCGATCAACCCGGTAACAATACCATTTGATGTTGAGATAGTTTCCAAAGTATTTTGCAATTCTTGCAGTGCGTCTTTCATGGATTCCACCGTTTCGTCTACTTCCGTGTGCAAAACGATTGCCTTTGAATTACCACCAGACTCCTTTGTCACACAGACAAGTTGCAGAGCAGATTCGGTAACGGTTTTCGTTTGATCTAGTAGCACCATCTGTTGTTTCGAATGCACCATGTTTGAAGCAGCACCGATAGCACCGGAAACCAAGGGTTCGCAATACAAAGCGATCTGGTTGACAGCGTGTCCCACGTTTTCAGCTTCGTATTTAGCGGCTGTTCGAAGAGGTTCCAGTTTTTCTCGTAACTCGCTGGCGCTGCTCTCCATTTGATCGGTAAATCCTTGCACCGTGTTCTCTCTTCGTGGAATCAATGCCTGCGAAACAGCGCTGAGCGATGCGGCATCCAGTTCTCGGATCCTGGCCGACAATTTTTCGATCGCAGCATCGCATTCCTTTTGTCCAGGTGCCTTGTCGCGGATGGAGGCAACTAGAGACTTGATCGAATCGCTGACACTCTTGCTATGATTTGCCAATAATTGCCAAGTTGGGGGATCTTTAGGACTGACAGCTAGACTCTTAGCAGCTCGCACCATCGCGCAAGAACCGTCGATGATAGCTTTACCCGCGCTTGTTATTGGTTCCTGGGCAGCTCTAGCTGCTATGGATATCTTTGCAGGTTGGCTGGCGAATTCTGGAGATCCGGCAAAAGTGCACAGATTGTCGACCGCTTCTAGAAGAGGCTTGGTAGCCTCAGCACACCTCTCTCTGTTAGCTTCGGAATAATTCTGATCCAACGCTTTGATCTCCTTCACCAGAGCTGATGTGGAATTGGCAACATCCTTGGCCGATTGAACGAAGTGCCGTTTGGCAACAGGATTGCTGGTTTTGTTCGAAGCTTCGCGACAAGCGTTGCAAAGAGCGCTAGTGTACTTGGCAATCATGGTAGCTGCTGAAAGAACTTGTTGCTCGGTGCTGGTAGGATTGCCAAGACTCTGACAACCAGTATGAATAGCCTGAGCAGCTCTGAGGAATTGAGCTTGGTCCACCAAGCCAGGTTTTCCAGCCACTGATGTTGGATCGCTTACACCAGCTAAGTATGCAGCTTGGGCAGCTGCTTCTATCAGACCACAGATCGAAGATGACACTCCTCTAACGGCTACTGAGAATTGCTCGTGTTCTGATTTCTTTGCATGGTTAGCTATGCCTGTCATACCATCGCCAAGACTCTTGCTCTTCTCCATTACAGTTTCAAGGCATTCGAAGTAACTTGCGTCGGATATTGGTTCACTAGGATTATCAAGAAGCGACCTCATCGATTGTATGTTTCTGATGGCGTTGTCGCATTCGTTTTGTCCAGGTGCAGCTGAAGTGCAAACGTCAACTAGATAATTGATGGAATCTGTTACCGCTCGTGCAGCAGCTGATAATTGGTTCTTGGCGTTTGGAGCACTCGGGTCAGCTGCTACAGATTTAGCAGTTACCAAAAGCTTGCTGGATGTCATGCTGACGTTCTTCAGTGAGACCACCATTTGAGTTCGAGTTTCGATGGCTGTTTGACCGGCCATTTCCATGCCAACACCCAACAAATCTCCAAAAGCATTGGTGAATTGCTTGGAAGAACTAGCTAGTTGCACCGGGGAACGTACCGATGATACTACGTTCGATGAAGCATCGTTTAGATTCGCAGCTGCGTTATTAAGATCACTTTGCAGTTGCCTATAAAAGAAAAATTGCTACATGTATATTTTTTACATGATAATGAAGTAAAAATCTCAAACAAAAAGTTAATTTTAATAAAATATCAATGAAATAAACGATTCTTCTAAAATTTAGTTTAAAATATTTATTATATTGGAATAATGTAATAAGCAAAACAGAATAAGAAATTTTTTACGCATCAAATATCATAGTTCATTATCCTCGACCTAAAAATTTAATATTTAAATGGTCTACTTTGTTGTTACATTTATTTTAAATGTGTTCTTAAATTTTGTCTTATCATTGTCTTTAAAAATTCTAATGTGTGTCAATGAATGATAAGCAGTAACTAAAATGAGACAAATGAATAGGTAACTAATTACTTGTGTACCATTTGATAACTTATCAGTAACAAAACATATATACATACCCATAACTCTTGTTAGTTTGAGGAAATTCGTTCATGCCTAGAACTTGAGTCATTTCGTCGATATTCTTGATAGCATCATCTACGTCTCTTTGTCCAGGCAAGCAAGATACGCATTTGTTCAACGAATTTGACACATCTTTAGCAACAGCAGCTAGATTAGCTTCATTGTCTACATTATCAGGATTCTTTAGAGCTCTTCTAGCCTCTTTGACCAGTCTCAACGACTTCAAGATTACATCATCAGCGGTCATTAAAACTTTCTTTTGCGTATCAGGTTGATTCGAAGTTGCAGCCACTCCACGAACTGCATAAGTCAAGTCTTTAAGAGCAGTTGCTGTTTCTCTAGCCGCACTTCCCGTGTAATTTTCATTTCCTTGTTTAGCAGCAGAGAGCAGCTGAGCCATGGCGAAACCTACATTCTTCGACGTGGCTCCCAAGCGAAGAGCAGTGGATTCCGTGGTCTCATCAGGTAATGGTCTCAGGGAAGCAGCCTCTACGGCTCTATAAAACTCTCTCAATTCGTCTTTCAAGCTGTTTATCAATTCTTCGGCTGCATCTAATTCCAGTCCACCGCAAGCTTCCCTTGCACGCGTCACAGCAGACCTCAAATCTGAGAGAGAAGCGCCCAATTGCTGAGAAGTATTGTTCAATTGGAGAGCAGAAGCCTGATCAGTAACAGTTGGCAATACCGCCCTGGCAGCTTTTACCACGGCAGTACCAGGTTGTAAGAACTGTTCAGAAGCATTAATCAGATTCAACTGTGCCGTGGAGTTATCCGGTTGAGCCTGCGTTCCTTTCACACCGGCTACAAGACTTGGTATATGTTGCGCCATGGTATGACACTCTGCGTTCAATTCCTCTTGACTACTTTGGTTTGTGTTGTGATGAGCAGCACCCGTTGAAGCAGCAATGCATTGTGTAGCAGTGGCGGCAGCCTGTTTGGCGCAAGCTTCTAATCTATTAATCAATTTCCTTCTCAAAGCAGGAGTAGCAGCGGCAGTGGTAGCTGCTCTCAATTCTTCGGCAGCTTGCCGCAATTGATCCTGCATCTTAGCATCGTGTGGACTGCTGGCACATTGTCTGGCAGCCTCCACCATTTTGGCTGTGGCATCAGCGAGCACCTTAGCAGCAGCCAACAATCTGCGTTGCTGTTCCGAATCGGTCTGCCTCTCTGCCTCGCCCTTTATGCTTTGGATCAATTGTGCCGTTGCTTGGCCAACAACTCTTGCTTGTCTCACCATCTCACCAGCATCCCCGGTGCTAGCAAACAGTTTATCAGTGGCTATCAGTATTGTCTCCACCGCTCCCTCTTGAATAGATTCCTTAGCCCGCTCTCCTCTGGTGGCTGTCTTAATATGACTCAACAAATCGTTCAACGTTCTGCTCACTTCACTGGCAGCGATGTTCAACTCTTTCAACAGGTTTTCGTCATTACAGGTCTCATTGCACACTTCCAACAAACCTTCCACTGCCTTCGTCACTTCACGGACCGCGTTCATCAGCTGCGTCTGACAAGCAGGAGAGTGCAAAGTTGGCGCCACGACCTTTGCACAGGCGACTAATTGAGATGTAGCGAGAGCACATTGCGTAGCTGCTGAAATTACGCGATTTTGAGTCGCAGAATCCTCGCAGGTGGCTGCGATATTCTTTGCTTTGAGGACCAAAGCGGCAGTCGAGTTGGCCACAGCTTTAGCCAAGGCTAATAGCATATCTTGAAGTTCTCGATTCGAGTCGTTCTCTTCACCTATAGTCGTTAGCACCTGGTGCGAAGCCTCACCCACGCGAGAAGCGGCGTTCAACAGATTCTGCCTTGGCTAAAGTGAGTAAAAAGAAAACGATTAGAGATGAATTGTGGAAAATATATATGTATATATTAAAGCAATGTGTTTTAAAAAAAGGATAAAAATAAATTATATTACAAGCAAAATGATAAATAAATTGATTGTTAATAATAAATATTCTGGCCTTTTGTATATATTCTTTTAATATTTAAAATTATATTTGTTATATATAAATCAAATTGAAAATTTTGATGCATACATATATATATTCTATAACTAGTAATTAAATTTCAATAATTTAAAACTTTATGATCTCTTTATGATATATCTCATTATAAGAGAAACATCCATTAAACACAACACAAGAGAAAAGAAACATTTTCCCTCTTTTTATCCTAAATAAAAAAAAGACTAACTTATTATAATGAAAACATTAATATCAAAAACTATTTGCAAGAAGCTTGCGATAATTTAACGTGTGCAATAATTTAAAGTGAAACACAAATAGAAACAATATTAAATGGAAATTCGTTATAAAAAAAAGAAAAAAAGGAAACTGTAAACGATTTGCGATATTCTACAATGTTCTCTAATATTCTTGCTTACGTATCGTTCGTACGAAGATATCGCTACGTAGAAAGGCTGCATAAAAAGTCACAATTGATCACATCAAAAGAAATTCGTTATTAAAAAAAAATCGATACTTCTTCACTTAACAATTACACAAGCGAGTTTTACAAACTTTGACAAAACTAATTTTAATAATACTTTTCGATCTTAGAACGTTAGAAGAAGTATAAAAAAAAAAAAAAAAACTCTTGCCAACGTTGGAACAATCGTTTCGGACAATAATACCTCTTTGGTTTCTGGCTCGGTGGCCTTGAGCAAGTCGGAAAATGCCGAGCACAGCTTTCTTGCGGCATCCAGCAATTTATCCCCCGAGGACTCGTCGTCCATCAGGGCGGCGATCATTCTCACGCCCTTGGTCATCTCCGGCAGATTGGTGGCGATCGTGGTGATGGCTGCGCCCACCGCC